TTCGTGTGTCTTGCTCCCTGTATTGTTATGATATCTATATGTTTATGTTTATGTTTATGTATGTATATATATATATATATATCTATATCTCAGACACCCTGTCTCTCTCCCTCTATCTATATGTTTATGTTTATGTTTATGTATGTATATATATATATATATATCTATATCTCAGACACCCTGTCTCTCTCCCTCTTCTCATCCTCGCCCCCTTCCCGCCCTCCCCCCTTGTTCCTCCTCCGTCCTTCTCCCCCTTCTTCTCCTCCTGCCACCTCTCCCGTCATTCCCCCCTCTCCCCCTTGTCCCTTTCCCACGCCCTCTCCTCCACTCCCCCCTGTCCCCCTTTGCCCAAGAACACACCTCCCAATCCCCTCCCCCTCCCTGTCCCCCTCCCCGTCCCCCCTCCCTCTCCCCGCTCCTCCCTCATCCCGCGTCCCAGACCCCTTCCCGGCGATATTTTGATCTCATCCCGTTCCTGCTCCGTTGCCCACCGGCACACCTTCGCAGCCTGCCGCGGCTAGGACAACTACGGAGGCCGGGCCCACTGTGCGGTGAGTCGGCGAAAGTCTCCCCTGGCTGCTCCTCCTGCTCCTCGTCCCTCTCTCCTTCTCCATCCCCCTCCTCCTTCCTCCCTCCTCCTCCCTCCTCCCTCCCCCTGCTCACCCTATGTTTGAGCTCTGGGTGCTCTCATATGGGACAATGGCATGGACGATACGTTTTAAGTTTTACATGACATGTGATTGCGTTTACGGTCTTTGATCGTTTCGGCTGAACTCAATTTGATGACGCCAGTGTTTTCTCTGTTTGGACGCACGATAAGTGCGTACTATGCAGGCCCTGTTCCGCAACTTGTATGCTGTACCTTTTGGTTGACAGGCATTGTGTGTGTGTGTGTGTGTGTGGGTTCTGCACTGCTCCTGGTTTGTCGCTGGTCGGCATTCGGGTTGGGGAGGTCGGTGTTTTTTTATTAAGAAGGGACAGAGGTAAGCCCCTCCCCGAAGGGGAAGAAGGCGTTTCGGAGCAGCGAGCCAGATACCGTTAGACCACTTACGTCCAGAGCGCTGTTGGGAATCAGTGATTTTGATCTCGTCGGGGCTTCCTGGACGTCCTCTTGTGCCGTGTTGGGGGCCTGTTCGACCCAGCTGGGGCCGTCTTGGGGTGGGGGGGGGGGCGGCGGGCATCGTGGGCCGTCATTAAGGCGGCTTGGAACATCTTCGCGGCCGTGGTGGCTTGCCTGGGCTGTCTTGGGAGCCCTCTCGGGCATCCTGGAAGCCTTCCAGAGTGCCATATAGGCGTAGGGGCGCTAAAGAGGAGGGATGACGATATCGTTGTTGATGCTGGTGATGATGAGGAGGATAATGAGGAGGATGATGCTGATCATGACGAGGGCGATGATGATGCTGATAATGATTTTGTTGATGCTGATGCTGATGCTGCTGATGACGATTTCGATGATGATGATGATGATGCTGATGATGATGATGATGATGATGGTGGTGGTGATGATTATGATGATGATGACGATGATGATGCTGCTGATGATGATGATGATGATGATGCCGATGACGATCATGCTTACGATGCCGTTGCTGATTCTGCGGCTGAGTCAGACGACGATGATGATGAGGATGATGAGTAGGATGATGATGCTGATGATGATTATGATGATGATGACGGTGATGATGATGATGATGATGCTGCTGATGCTGATGCTGATGCTGATGCTGATGCTGATGCTGGTGATGTTGGCGATGCTGCTGCTGTTGTTGATGATGCTGATGCTGATGCTGATGATGATGCTGATGCTGCTGATGATGGTGATGATGCTGATGATGCTGATGATGCTGATGATAGTGACGATGATGCTGGTGGTGGTGGTGTTGATGGTGGTGGTGGTTGTGATGATAAGGCTTGCGACGACGACGGTGGCACCGAACACGATGATGATGATGATGATGATGATGATGATGATGATGATGATGATGATGATGATGGTGGTGATGATGATGATGATGCTGATGATGATGCTGATGATGATGACGATGACGGCGATGGTGCTTTCGATGGTAATTATGATGACAATGCGGATGAGGATGATAGTGCTGACGGTGGTTGAGATGATGATACTGATGATGCTGATGCTGATGCTGCTGATGATGATGCTACTGATGATGGTGATGGCGATGGTCACGATGAGGGTGAGGATAATACTGATGATGATTTGGATTATGGTAACGATATTGGTATCGATGATGATTATGAGGAGGAGAAGGAGTAGGATGATGATGAGGAGGAGGATGAGGATGAGGATGAGGAAGATGATCATGCTGATGACTTTGTTGGTGATGGTGAGACCGATGCTCATAATGCTGCGTCTGGTGGTGTTGTTGAGGATGATGCGGTTGATGATGCTGATGATGCTGATGATGCTGCTGATGATGCTGATGAGGCTGCTGATGCTGCGGCTGGTAATGATGATGATGATGATGATGATGCTGGTGATGAGGATGATGATGATGATGATGATTGGGAGGAGGAGGCGGCGGAGGATGCCAATGAGGACAAGGATACGGATACTGATCATGCTTCTGACAATGTTGATGACGACGATGATGGTGATGATGATGTCGACGATGTTGATGGTGATTATGATGATGATGGCTATGATGCTGAGGATGATGATGCTGCTGCTGATGATGATGATGATGGTGGTGGTGGTGATGATGATGGTGATGATGAGGGTGAGGGTGAAGGTGGGGATGAGGGTGAGGGTGAAGGTGAGGATGATGATGAGGATGATGCGGCTGATGATACTGATGATTATGACGACGACGATGCCGATGCTGATGATGATGATGATGCTGATGCTGAGGATGATGATGATGATGCCAGGGATGATATTGACGATTTTGATGCTGATGCTGCTGTTGCTGCTGCTGATGATGATGAGGATGATGCTGCTGATCATGATGATGCTGATGATGATGCTGATGATGCTGATGCTGATGATGCTGATGATACTGCTGATGATACTGATGATGATGCGGCTGATGATGATGCTGCTGATGATGCTGATGTTGATGATGATGTTGACGATGTTGTTAATGATGATGCTGATGAGGATGATGATGATGATGTTCATCATTGCGATGATGCTGATGCCGATGCTGATGATGCTGATGATGCTTACGATGATGATGGTGATGCTGATGATGATGATGATGATGATGATGATGATGATGATGATGATGCTGATGCTGATGCTGATGCTGCTGCTGATGATGATGATGACGAGAATGACGATGATGATGCTGATGATGACGATGATGATGCCGAGAATGATGATGATGATGAGGATGATGGTGATTATGATGGTGATGATGATGATGATGTTGATGATGATGCTGATTATGACGATGCTGGTGGTGATGATGATGCTGCTGATTATGATGATGATGAGGATGATGCTGATGATGACGCTGCTGATGATGCTGATGCTGATGCTGATGTTGATGCTGCTGCTGCTGATGATGATGATGATGGTGATGCTGATGCTGATGATGATGAGGATGATGATGATGATGCTGATGATGATGACGATGATGATGTTGATGATGATGATGCTGCTGATGATGATGGTGATGCTGATGATGATGATGATGATGATGATGATGATGATGATGCTGATGATGATGCTGATGATGATGCTGATGATGTTGATGATGATGATGTGGAGAAGGAGGTGGAGGAGGAGGTGGAGGAGGAGGTTGAGGAGGAGGAGGAGCAGGAGGAGGAGTCGAATGAGGAGGAACATGAAGAACCTGAGGATGGCCGTGGAAGTGGAGGAGGAGGAGGAGGTCGAGGAGGAGGAGGAGGCGGAGGAGGAGGAGGAGGAGGAGGAGGAGGAGGAGTGCGACGAGGTGTCTCACAGGCAGTTGGCTGCCTGCTGATCTCTGCCTGATGTGTAAGGCCTTTCGACGAGCAGCGTATGCATCGCCATAATATGGTCATCGCGCCAGAGGCCCTGACAAGATGTCAATCCAGCTTGGCGTTCCATGCGCATCGAGGTGACAACTGGTGCCCTCTGCTGGTGGCTTGCAGCACTCCTCGCCGCCTGCATGGGTGGCTGTGCGAACGTTGGATACAGGTACCTCGAATTCAGACCTCTCCCTTTCCCCACGCACGGAGGGGGAGGGGAAAGACAATGAGAAGGATGAGAAGGAGGGTCCTCCTCCTCCTCCTCCTCCTTCTGTTGGTCCTCCCGTTTCTTGTCCTGTTTCTGTTCCTCCGCTTGCTGGTCTTCCTATTCCTCCTCTTGCTCCTCCTCCTCTTCCTCCTCCTTCTCCTCCTCCCCCTTGTCCTCCCCCTCTAGCTTCTCCGCAGGCACGGGCGGGCATGCCAACAGAAGCCATCATTTTCAAGACGGCCTCGTTGAGAAGACGCACTGAGCGCTGAGACGCTACACACCCAGCACCGCAGTTTGGACAGCTTTTGCTGTAGTGGCGTTCGTTCGTTGGTTCGTTCGTCGTCGTCCTCCTCCTCTTTCCGCGCGCCCCCGTGGGAGGCTCGGACCTATCCATATGGATGTACTTCGACCGCAGCCCCCGGGAGCTGCGCCAGGCTGGCCTCTGAGTTGTTGTTGTCGCGTCTGCCGACGCCGACGCCGTGGAGGGGGAAGAGAGTGAGGGGGAGGTGGAAGAGGAGAGGGGGTGGACATGGGGGTGGCGAAGGGGGAGGCAAGGGGGAGGGGGAGTGCTGCTGATGATCAGTGTGATGCGGAGGATGCGGAGGAGGAAGGAATAAAGACGATTGAGGGATGGGCTGTTCGGATGACACCGACCATCATCCTGCATTTTGCGTGGTCGGGCTCATCCAGGGCTCAGGGCTGGCCAGAATTTGGCGGAGGAGGACGAGGATGGATAGTGTGGAGGAACAGGAGGCGGAGGCGGAGGAGGGAGGAGGCAGGAGGCAGGAGGAGGATGGGGGAGGAAGGGAGGGATGAAGGGAGGGCGGGAGGGAGGGAAGGGAAGGGAGGGAGGGAGGGAGGGGGATGATGATGATTGTGGTAGTGGTGGTGATGATAATGAGGGTGGTGGTGATGATGATGATGGTGACCGAATAATTTATGGGACGGAAGGGTATATTATGATGGCGATCATCGTTGGGCAGTGGGGGGAGATTGCCGGGGAAAGTGCACGGCAAGGGAAGGTAGTTCCGCAGCCGCACTTGCTCAAGGAAGGGTTCGATTTGTTCCCAACCTTCCTGCGGTGTTGGGTCCTGTGGTGTTTGCGCCCCGCGTTCCATTTCTTTTCCTTATGGGTAGGAAGTCCTCCCTGTCGCACCCCGAGGCCGATCGGAAGGGCGGGCCAGCCGTTTCGCCTGAGACTTCCTTACCGTGTATGAGCCTCAAGCTGAGAAGCTGGCAACAGCTTCACAGATGGAGGGCGGGTCGCTTTTAACATCTGGATCTCGCCTTGGCGCTGCGCACATTCGCTTACAGCATTTGTAAGAGTATAACGGGTTGAGGGCGGATGGTTTTCAACATGTGGTTCGCGCCGTAGCGCCGCGCACATTCTTTTTTAACAGTTGCAAGCGTTTCGCGGATTGAGGGCACGTCGTTTTCAACGTGTGGCTCTCGCCCTGGCGTCGCGCGCATCCGTCCTAAACATTTTGCAAGACTTTCACTGTTTGAGGGCGGTTCTTTTTCAACATGTGGCTCTCGCCTTCGCGCCGCGCTCATTTTTTTGTTGTTGTTGTTTTGTTTTGTTTTTTACCTAACAGCTCTTGCTGATAGGTTTCTAGTGGTCTCAAAAGAGAGCATCATGACTCCTCAGGGGGGTCTGGGCGGGACCCGGGGGACTGCCGCCGAAGCCGAAATCGCTTCGGACATCCTCGCAAAATCGCTCTTGGCGCTCCCAGAACTCCATTCCCGGGCCACATTTTGGATGCCCGGAGCCAACTGTAGGCCACTTCGTGCTCTTCGACTTCCCAGAACTCCATTCCCGGGCCACATTTTGGATAACTGGAGCCAACTGTAGGCCACTTCGTGCTCTTCGATTTCCCAGAACTCCATTCCCGGGCCACATTTTGGATGCCTGGAGCCAACTGTAGGCCACTTCGTGCTCTTCAAGTTCCCAGAACTCCATTCCTGGGCATGATTTTGAATGCCCGGAGCCAACTGTAGGCCACTTCGTGTTCTTCTAGTTCCCAGAACTCCATTCCTGGGCCACATTTTGAATGCTGAGGCAGGCTGATGCTGCGGCCGAGGCAGGCTGAGGCTGAGGCAGGCTGAGGCTGAGGCCGAGGCTGAAGGCAGACTGAGGCTGAGGCTGAAGCAGACTGAGGCTGAGGCTGAGGCAGGCTGAGGCTGAGGCTGAGGCAGGCTGATGCTGAGGCAGGCTGAGGCTGAGGCTGAGGCTGATGCAGGCTGAGGCTGAGGCAGGCTGAGGCTGAGGCCGAGGCTGAAGGCAGACTGAGGCTGAGGCTGAAGCAGGCTGAGGCTGAGGCTGAGGCAGGCTGAGGCTGAGGCAGGCTGAGGCTGAGGCTGAGGCAGGCTGAGGCTGAGGCTGTGACTGCGACTGCCGTTGCCGCTGCGACTGTCATCGCGAATGCGACTACGACTGCGAGAACAGCAGAATTCTACAACTGGATTTTCATCTGAATCTTAAGGGGAATGCTTTCAGATATGCTTCTACACATCGCTGTTAGGTTGCTTTGCCGTTTTTTTTTTTTTTTTTTTTTTTTTTTTTTTTTTTTTTTTTTTTTTTTTTTTTTTTTTTTTTTTTTTTTTTTTTTTTTGTTTTTTTTTGTTTTTTGTGTAAAAAAATAATAAATAGATAAATATATATTACATGCAGGAGCTTGACGGATTGAAGGCCGTTCCTTTGCAACAGGTGGCTCTCGCTTTAGCGCCATCGTTTTAAATGATTGCAGGATTTCCGCGGATTCTCATGGTCCACCTTTCAGAAATTGTGTTTCAGAGCGATTCAGAACTGCCAGGGCGCAGCAGTTATGTTGATTCGCGGTGTTGAAGTCCCAGGAACGTTGTTCTGCCACGATTCAGGAGTTTCAAGACGCAACAGTCAGGTTGACTCATTTTCGCCCACTGCAGGTTTTTTACACGGTTGTTTCCTAACGGGGCATTTCCGTCAGTGGAAGTGAATCGTTCTGTGGGGCATTTGAAGAGGGAGCGTGGAGGGAGGGTGTATCTCAACATTGTTGATGAGTCTTGGGTTTACACTGGTCTTCCTCCTCTCCCTTCTCCTCCCTCTCCTCCTCCTCCCTCTCCTCTCTCCCATAGGGAGCTTCACCGACGGCCCCAGTGGCGGTGCCCGTGTCGTCACAGCGTTCGCACGTTTCGTGGCCCCATGGGGAGCTCCACCGAAGGCCCCAGTGGCGGTGTCCACATGCGCCCCCGCCACCCACTTCGGCGACTCGGGTGCGACCCTCGTACGTTTCGTGGCCCGACGGGGAGCTCCACCGAAGACGATGCACACAGCTGCGTGACTCACAGCCGCACACGGTCGGGCCCTTCGTCGGGCCAGTCCTTGGCGAGGACGGTGACGTTGAGGGCGAGGCCCGCCGCCTGCTGCGACTGGCCTCGCCTGCCGCCCTTCCCCCCCTCGCCCTCGTCGCCCCCCTCCCCTCCCTCCCGCCCGCCGCCCGCGCGGAGGCCGCGGGCCCGGCGGGGGAGGCGCAGCAGACGGCAGGGGAGAACGCTTCTCCTCTTCGCTTCTCCCTGCCGCGAGCTTGTCGAATGCCTGCAGCCGGGCGCTGCAGGAGTGAACCGCGTGCACGTCTCCTCGGCGTCACCCCAACATACCAATACTGTATGTGCGTCGCCCCCCCAGGGGCGACGCGCGCACCGAGAAATCTTATAGTATATTCGTCGTGGCCAGCTCTTTCTGGCCTCACCGCTCGGGAAACGACACACTACAATATGGGTTATATGTTGGGGTCGGAAGTGCGCCTCCAATGAGGACATACAATACTAATAATTCTTTGTGCGTCCCATTTCTCGTTTTATCCTAAACGATGGCGTGTTGGAGGTACCCACCTCCGGCATCCGTGTGCTCAGTGGGCTCCAGCAGGTTCCATGCGATGGCAGTGAAGTTCGTCTCCATCAAGTACTCGTCCTGCGCCGTGAACGTGGTGGTCAAGGGTGGAATGTGCTCTCATTTGAAAATCAAAAGACCGCTCGCGACTCGCAGAAATCCTTCCCTCCCTCCCTCCCTCCCTCCCCTCCCCCCCCCCCCCCTCTCCTCCCCTCTCCTCCCCTCCCTCCCCTTGCCTCCCCTTCCCTCCCCTCCCCCCCCTCCCTCCCCTGGCCTCCCCTCCCTCCCTCTCTCCTCCGTCCTCCTCCCTCCCCGCCCTCCGCCGCTCCCCCCCCTCTCCTGTCCGTAGCCATTTTGGCTCAAGCACATGGGGCCCAAGGCGCGTATATCCTTTTGGCTCGAGCGCGTCATGGGCCCTGCCCCGCCGCCTCATCGCGGCGTGCTTGTGGCTATCCGCACCTCTGGTCTTCTTTCTTGAGGCGCGGATCGGCTAAGGGCGGGGCGAAGTCTTGCAGTCAGGCGTCATTCAATTTTGTATTTTGTTCTGCCAAGGTGCCGTACTACTGCATTTGTGAGTGGTTCTCAAGCGAATCGGCTGGCGTGGACTGGATGGTTTGGAGTTTTTCTCCGCTTTCCTGTGCACATTCCTCGTTGTCCGTCTCGGGTGCGGGGCCCATGGGGGGAGCCTGGTTGTGCATTTACCCACCCGCCCGCACCCGAGCGTACTATTTCAAGCTGTCGGGCCGCGCTTCGAGGGACCTGAGGATGCTGGGGGTATGGGCATCATCGCTCTTTATGTTTGGTGCCAGCTTCATTGCATGCAAGAATGGTGAAGATCGCGGCAATGTTTGTATTCAGTCGGTTTGGCTTCATAGCTACACACAGTTCGGCGTACAGGCTTCCTTGTCAATGTGCTCGTGCTGCCATGGTGCTGCATCGCTGGATGTATGGGTGCCGGCTTGTCTGTATTCTGCGTGTCGAGGTACTTGAGGGTGCAAGGGTTGTTCCAATCACCGTTGTTTGGTGGCGCTGTCCTTCTGCATTCAATAATGGTGAAGCTCGTGGTTTGTAGTGTCGGCATCATACACTAATTTCGGCGTTCAGTCTTCCACGTCAGTGTAATTCAATAGTTTGTTTTGTACGTGGGTACGGCATTCTGGATTGGCATGGCGGGGCTGTTTGTGGAGGAGGCGATCCCTCTGAGGGGTTGCCCGATGACCAGTGCTGTGTATCGAGACTTGGGCTCGTGTTGTACACATCATTGAAAGGGCCGCATCGAGCCGATTTCACCTCAGCCGAACCTTGAATCAATAGGTATGTTTTTCGCCGCGTACGTGTACCATTCCCTCGTCTACCTGGAGGCGGTCAGTGGGTGGCTTTTAGTTTAAGACTTCGTCTTGTTATCATGCTCATGCTCATGCTCCCCCCCCTCTCCCCTTGCCCCCCCTCTCCCTCCTCCTCCCGCGCCCTGCGTGCAGGCCGTGTGCCCAGTGAGGCCGCGGATCCAGAACGCGTGCGCCGCCCGCGCCGCCCCCGCGCCCCGGCGCCCGCAGCCCGCCCGCCGCAGTCGCCCCTGCAGGCCTCGGACAAAAAATAGCGAACACTTCTGCCAGATCCCTCTGTCAACGCCTCCCCCTCCCCCCGATGTTCAAAGTTGGTGGTGGGTCTGATGAGTTGCACCTCGACCGCAGTCTCCCCCTCGCGTGCCAACTTTGAGTTTGGGGGGCAGGGGGGGTGTTTACTAATTGTTTCCCTCCTACCGTGCCGCCTGCGTCCCAGCGGGGTCGTCGGGGTGGGTGGGCCTCCGAAAAGGTCCTGCAGGGCTTCGGAGTGCTCGCGGGGCTTCCCGAGGCCTTCGGCGCCCTTCTCCCTTCCCCCCCCGGGTCGGGGCACCGGCTGGGACAACTCGTCTCCTCCTTCCGATCCTTTGGGTCTTGGCATCCTCC